TCTCTTTTCTCTATTTTTACCGTAGCGAGGAATGTACAATCGCAGTAAGTTAATTTACAAGGGCATTCCAAGATCCAGCGTGACCAGAAGCGAGATGATATAAATCTCTATAACAAGGCAAAAGCTGCGCGCTCACTTCATCAACAGATTGACAGCCCAAGGCACACTTAGGCCCCTCAAATCACCATAGTGCTGGCCCACGCCCAGAAAAACAATAGGAATGCCTGTAGCATGCACCATGCTGACAAGCGTACCTACCATGTCACCAACGGTATCACATTTACTGATGATGAACCCATCGAGGTTTCTCCCAGTGCCGAAAGCTTGGTTGAAGTTGCGAGCCTGCATCACACTGTCCGTACCGACCAGAGCTTCACCAACCATGAAGATCTTATCCGGTTTGGCGAACTTCGCGAACTTCTCGAGCGAAGACATAAGGCGTTGGTCGTTATGACGGCGACCGGCAGTATCAATCAAGACAACGTCGAATTGATTAGCCGCACCGTACTCCACTGCATCCTTCGCTACATTCGCTGCATCCTTTCCGTATCCCTTCTCGTAGAGTTCAACCTCTCCAGCATTCTCTCGGGCACTAAGTTCCTTCAAATTGCGAGCATGGACTCGTAACTGTTCCACGGCTCCAGAGCGGAAGGTGTCACAGGCTGCAATCAGAACCCGATAGTTATTCTGGAGAAGAAAGTAACAGATTTTGCCCAGATTTGTCGACTTTCCAACACCGTTGACGCCCACGATGGAGATGACATATGGGCGAGGAGCCTGTCCTTTGCTCGTCGGAGATCTAACAGCATCGATCTCACGCAGTAGATCGAGAGATGACGTAGGCGTCAATATTTTGCGCAACGAGGACTCCATTGCGGAGCGCAGTGCTGCATCAACACTTTGAAAGTTGCCTGTCTTCTTGCCAACTAATTCGCGCTGGACGCCTTCACATAGACGGACGGCCGCTTCGCGCGCAACGTTCTTCTTCAGCAAATGGTCTTCCATGGCTTTCAAGGGTTTCTCCAAATCAGCCTCAGTAAGGACCTTGCCGCCGACAATATTACGGAAGAATCCACCAAGTGCATTAACACCTGACCCAACAAGGCCCGTGGACGAGGAAGCCTTTGCCTTTTCATGATCAGCATTCTCAAGAATGGAATGGACTTCATCCCCTAGATCTTTCAGCACAAATTGGCCCTTGCCTGTTCGGCGTCCCCAGGATTCTTGCGCAACAACCTCTACTACTGGAGCCGGTGCGTCCTCGCCATCTGCAGGCGCGGAGTAATCGAGGACCTTGCCGTCGTCCTCATCCGCGAAGCCATCAGCATCCCACTTGCGCATCTTTTTTCCACTTTTTGGTGTTTTCCCCTTCCGAATGCTTTCATCTCCAGAAGAAGCAGTAGCGCTCGCGTTGGCCGCTTTGCGTGCGCGGCGAGAGGCGCGGCCAGCAGGCCCTCCCTTGGCGGTCAACAGATGACCTGAAATGGGCGTTGATGATCGAGAAAGATCTGGGGTTTGGGGTGGCGAACCCTCGTCCGAGGTCGCCGCGCCCTGCGCAACTGGACGTTGCGCTTCGGAGGTGGTTAGCAACACAATCACTGGCAGAGAAAAATTATCGACGTCAAATACCTTTCAGCAGACCAGGCACGGGCGGCGGAGGTGGCCCGCCGTTATCTGATGAAACAAGAGGGTCCTTTCTCTCGTTGATCTCTGCTACGAGAGTTTCTGATGTAGGAGCCCCAGCATTGTCCTCAAGCTCTCGCACTTGCTGGTCGAAGTACTTATCGAACGGGTACTCAATAATCCTAGCCCGTGCGCTCCTCAGCTCATCCTTATATAAGTCGACGAATATGGTCGAAATATTATCCAAGAGTTTGTCGATCCAACCAAGATGTAGCAGAGATTGATATACAGCCTATGGAATCGGTCAGCGGCGCCATTGAATCAAAGCGCGGCATGAACATACCACAAATATCAGATTGAAATCCTTGACTTGCTTCCATTTCAGTGTATACTTTTCCTTCTTGTATATAGGAGCTGCACTGCTCGTTGCCTGATTCTGCGCTCGAACCTTCTCCTCAATGAAGACATCGTTGATTAGGCTGTTGACCACATGCGCTCCGACCGGCGCATACGACTTTGACCACAGCACCACCCCGGATGTAGTCAAGACTTCGAAGGCTTCTAACATGTCGTAAGCACTTTTTGTGTATATTATTCAGGGCGAGCAGCGTGGGTTCTGGGGAACGGACAAGTGAGTGTAGTGGCCACTATGGTGGGGAACCGCGGGCGGAAAAGGTGAGAGCTCTCCGGCGATCAGACCGAGTCCAGCCACGTATAAACACACTTCAACATCACTCACACTCGAACTGTCCGATTTCCAACATCCCCCCTCTTCGGCTGCTAGAAGACAAGAAGACGAGACAGAATATTTCCGAGTCTTTCGTTCATCACTAGCTTCTTACTTATACAGAAAAATTCAACATGTACCGCCAGTCTTTCGCACCGCCGCCGGCGCAGTCACCTCCACTCCACCATCCTGTGCCTCAACATGTGTCTACCGTTCCCATGATGCGCTCGCCTCCTCCCCCAGCACCCCAGCAACCCCAGTCGTCTGGATATGGCAATCCTTATCAGCCCTCCCCTGCGCAGGGCGGCAGCGGAACATATGCGCCTGGTTTTAGTGGGTTCATCAATGATCCCACAGCGCAGATGGGATTCCAGGTTGGGAAGACGGCGATGGCTGCTGGCCAGGAGTATATGGAACAGAACGTGAGTTGACTAACAAAGAAACCTACCGCACCCCAAACCTATGAGCTTCTGCTGAATTTCGATAGTTCAATCGCTATGTCTCCATTCCAGCTCTCAAGCATTACTTCAACGTATCGAATTCTTACGTCCTGGACAAGCTCGCACTCGTGCTATTCCCCTGGCGACACAAGCCTTGGTCTCGTCAGCAAGCACGTCTAACAACATCGTCGGCCGGCCCTAATGGTCAGATTGCGCAGCAACAATACTCATCCATGTTCCTCCCCCCTCGTGACGATCTGAACTCCCCAGATATGTACATCCCTGTGATGGCACTCGTCACCTATATTCTTCTTTCCGCGGTGCTGGCGGGATTCCGAGGTCAATTTCATCCGGAGCTACTTGGCTCGATAACTACGACGGCTATTGCGGTCATAGTCTTTGAAATACTGTGTCTCAAGCTGGCCATGTACATTCTCAGCATCAACAATGAATCTCAGCTGCTGGACCTTGTGGCATACTCTGGCTACAAGTTCGTTGGCATCATCGCAACTCTAGTTATGTCCGAGATCTTGACGCCAGGAAGGGGGACTGGCGGTTGGGTTGGCTGGGTTGTGTTCGTTTACACATTCCTCGCCAATGCGTTCTTCTTGGTAAGTGATAACTTTGTCACTTCAGCCTGCCAGTCCGTTGACAAGTTTCCAGCTCCGCTCGTTGAAGTACGTTCTACTCCCAGACTCAACCAGTGATGCGTCCATGCGCGCCGGTTCGATGCATACAGTTGCCCGTTCGCAGCGCAATCGTCGAACTCAGTTCCTGTTCATCTACTCTTATGTCATCCAATTCATCTTCATGTGGGTGTTGAGCCGCGAGGGCCCAGCTACTGCTGCCTCAGCGGCTGCAAAGGGTGCGGGGTCGCTGTCATGATTCCATTTATTGACAGCGAAGTTGCATATAATAATGACATAGACGGGCTTCATGAAAAGCAAGCAGTCTCTTATGACGGCTTTGACCATAGGTCTTCGCTTGCCGGTGTTCATTGCGACCTGTATGTACTAGTGAGGTTCAATACCATAATGAATTTCTTTGAGTTTCTACACGCTTCTTAGTACCGGGGCAGTTGCAGCCTCTCTGCGAAATTCTCAGAAACCATTAGATAGAGAACGTCTAAGTTAGAAATATTACAGCGAGTACAAAGGGGCGAATCTAGAGATAGATATTGAGGACGAATTGAAATATTCATATTATTATTCCAAAGACTATACAAGGATCCAAAGCTGTCTACCATAACCTGTGAATGTCTCATGTTAGACAGATGCAAAAACGCAAAAAATGTACAAGCAAAGGTTGAAAGGTCACAAGTCCTCAGAGATCTTGGTGATAATGCAACATATCATAGCCGTGAGGCATCATATACTATCTAGGCAGTGCAAAGGTGTAATCATCGGACGGTGACTGGGGAAAGCAAAAATAGTCGAACGTACCAGGACTGTGTGCTGATCGATGAGATTAATAAGTTGACGAGAACCTAAAATGTCTTCACGAAGTCAGCTCGCTGAAAGCACAAATCATAACGATAATGAAAGAGGAGCAATCAACAAATATCAGAATATGTAAGAAATGAATATCATGCGGCAGCGCTGCTTAAAGAACCCCGGCGAGGGTTCACAGACACTGCGTCAATCGCAAATTACCGCATCATGTGAAAGGTGATATTAAGAAAACGGAGACAGAAAACATACCAGTAAATGTAAGATATTGCATGTATGAACCTGTGCAGATCAAGTCAGTTGCGGATAGCATAAGCAGAACCTCATTTTGTCCTGAAAGAATGAGCCAAAGGCCAACTCAGACTCTTTGCAAATGCAAGGAAGAGGTAAGTAAAATGTTTTGGGAGAAGCTTAAATGTAGTTTTGCCGGAACGGAGAATTGAGTAAAGCCGGACCGGAGGCGCCAAGGCCCCAGCGAAAAGCAGCCCTAGGCCGCACGCAACCCCGTTCGGCGAGTTGCTACTGGCTGTTAAGCGAGACTCTTGTGGGCGAAGACCGCAGCACCCGAAATTCGCGATCCAGTAGCCCAGAGCGACTTGTGTGCGTTTCGGACGACTTTGACAACCCCGACTCTTCGACAACAAATTCCCATCACCGCCCTCCCGGAGTCTGTCGACCGTGAGTTTGAAATCTACGCCCTCTATCGCATTTCTGGACTGTCACTGAGAATCCGTTCTTGTCGTTTTCTAGGAAGCCTTCGCCATGGCCGATATCGATGTCAAGGTTGCTCAATGGAAGCTTGTTGAGGTTGGCCGTGTTCTGCTGATCCGCAGCGGTCCTTACACCGGCAAGCTTGCTGCCATTGTCGAGATCATCGACCACAAGCGTGTACGTTTTTCAACGGAGGAATTCTGAGCGCAGGACGGAAAGATTCATGGTCGGATGTGATATTGACAAAGAGTCGCGATTATAGGTCCTGGTTGACGGTCCTTCCACCGAGGAGAACAAGATCGTTCCCCGTCACGCCCTTCCTCTCGCTCACGCCACTCTCACCCCCTTCGTCATTCCCAAACTCCCCCGCGCTGCCGGCACTGGCCCCGTCAAGAAGCTCTGGGAGAAGAACGAGATCGATGGAAAGTGGGCTAAGAGCACCATTGCTCAGAAGACTGAGCGCGCTGAGCGGAGGAAGAACCTGACCGACTTCGAGCGCTTCAAGGTCCTCAGACTCAGAAAGCAGGTACGTGCAGTTTGCGAAACTCTGGGGGAATTGTGATGGGACATTGGAGGGAATTCTCGGCCACTCTGCGCTCGCTTATCGCGAGAAGAAAAAGGAGCAATTACTTGCAAGATGATTTGCGACCGTTTGCTGACATCTGGTGATTTAACAGGCTCGCTACGAGGTCCAGAAGGCTCACGCCAAGGTCAGGGCTGCTGCTCCTAAGTCATAGATGTTTTCATGAGGCTCGGTGCATAGTATGAAGGGGTACCTTGGGACGGTTTTACATGGCTGAGGGTTTTATTCTATTTCAGCACAAAATAAGCTGTATCCACTACAATGACAGCCAAAAAATGATTCAAAACCTTGATATCCTGACGCGGGTTATCCTACTATGTCATCAGATTCGCGCACCCGATTAGTACATGGCTCTGGTTTTTAGCCGTCTCCTTAGACATTAATTGGGAATTAAACATTTTAGACTCAATTGCATCACGGAATATGTAAGAATGTATCGTTATATATACTATTTGAGTTGAATTGGCTTGATATGACTTGTATAGCTTGTAAAGGTGGTGCTTGTGTGAGTCCGGGGTGAGGGTCACAATCACCTCGCTAACGATTTTCGGCAGCATGGCATTCACACAGCTTTGCGACCTTCCACTTACAACAAGACAAAAAAACCCCCAATCATCCCCAACAGCCCTCTATCCGTGAACTATGTATGTTTGTATTGATTTTACGGATTCCAAATTCATCTCTGGCCCCAATTTCGAATTTCTTGCGCTTTTGGTGGAGATTTCAGTGTTTCGTGGGGCATTTTCCAACCTTTATATTTGAACCACCAGACGGTGCTCCAGTTCGAATCGCTAACTGTCACTTCAACAGCCCTTCTAGGCTCGTTTAGACCGCAAAAATGGCTGATCCCCGTGTTGAAGAGCTCCCTGACGAGGAGGTTCCCAAGGCCAACGTCGAGGACGCTGGCAGCGACTCTGAGTCCGAGGCTGGTGAGGAGTCCAGCATCCCCGCTGGCGCCGCCGTCACCATCCACTCCCGTAACGAGAAGAAGGCCAGAAAGGCCATTGGCAAGCTCGGCCTGAAGCACGTTCCCGGCATCACTCGTGTCACCCTCCGCAGACCCAAGAACGTAAGAACACGGCCCATTTGCGCGACAAGCAACAGTCCATATATCGGGTTCCTGCAAGGCAGAGCCCAAATGTGAAAGAGCAGGAGCTAATCCGTCGTCTGCAGATTCTCTTCGTCATCAACCAGCCCGATGTCTACCGCTCCCCCTCCAGCAACACCTGGATGTATGTGTCTTACGGATTCTTTCGATGAGCGTCTATCATTTAGCTTACACATTTCAACAGCATCTTCGGTGAGGCCAAGATCGAGGACCTGAACTCCCAGGCTCAGGCCTCCGCTGCTCAGCAGCTGGCTGCCGCTGAGGCTGCCGCTGGCGAGCACGCCGGTCACGACCACGACCACGACCACGGCAAGGGCAAGGCCCCCGAGACCGAGGCCAAGAAGGAGGAGGAAGAGGATGATGGCGAGGAGGTCGATGAGACTGGCCTCGAGGCCAAGGACATTGAGCTCGTCATGGCTCAGGCTAATGTGTCGCGCAAGAAGGCCGTCAAGGCCCTGCGCGAGAACGACAACGATATCGTCAACTCCATCATGGCGCTCAGCATATAAACGCCGCCAAGTTGAATCCACGCCGTCAGTGGCTGACGTCTTAGCCCTGCTGGCAGGATGAACTCCGGGTGCGACGTCAGGTTGATATCCCTTTGACGCATGTTCTGTCTCGCCCTTAGTGTAAATCAGTTAGTTCAAAAAAGCAGAATTGACCGGATTTAATCACTTTTTCTACGGCCATTCTTGCCCTGGAATATTGTATCTTAATATTTACAATCTGGGAGATATCGCGTCTAAAGTCCCAATAAATAATGATTCGTATCAATCTAACCGCTCAGCCTGCCTGATGGTTTGCGGCTGTTGGTGGATGGGTGTTCGGAACACGGGAACGAAACAATCACGTGACTTTATCCCCATCCAAACCTTGCCGAAACAACCCTCATCTCGGAATGTCCAGGTTTGCACGTTGAAGTTCCCCTCTTTTCCTAATCCTCCACCATTCCACATATAAAAATGGCTGCTGTACGTTACTTGTGATTTTTCAACACGGATATATGTTGAATTGGCAAGATTCGGATCGCTAACCCCTCATTCTTACAGCGTAGCGCCGCTCTCAAGATCGACTGGGTCAAGGTGACCAGCTCTCTCGGCCTCCGCGGCCAGACCGCTGCCTCTCTCCAGGCCTTCAAGAAGCGTAACGACGATGCGCGCCGCAAGGTCCAGGTCCTGTCCGAGCAGCCCCAGACCGTCAACTTCGACCACTACCGCAGCATCCTGAAGAACCAGGCTATCGTCAACGAGATCGAGGGTTACGTCAAGAACTTCAAGCCCGCTACCTACGATGTCAGCCGTCAGTTGAAGGCTATCGATGCCTTCGAGGCTCAGGCCGTCAAGAGCGCTGAGGAGACCAAGGGCAAGGTCGAGTCCGAGCTCCGCAACCTGGAGAAGACTCTGGAGAACATTGAGACTGCTCGTCCCTTCGATGAGCTCACTGTGGTATGTTTTGGATTACAGGATGGGAGACTATTGGTTTGAAGGGTATATGAATTGACACTTTTATAGGATGAGGTCGCTGCTGCTCAGCCTGAGATTGATGAGAAGACTGCTGCCCTCGTCTCCAGGGGCAGATGGATGCCGGCCGGATACAAGGTGGGTTACAATTCCTGGACATTTGCTTTCATACGAGGCGATTTACTGATGATAATTCTCTGAATAGGAGCGCTTCGGTGACTTGTCCGCTGTTTAAATTGTCAGCATTTGCATCTCATTTCCCGCATCTTTTATCCGACAACCAATGGAATTACACGACGGAAACTTCTTGTCAAGCCTGTTAACGAATGGCTATCATTCTTGATACCTGGCAGTGTATTTCTTTTGGTCGACGGATCTGTATAGAATCAATGTTGAAATTAGAAGACGGTTCCCTGCATTTATGCATCAAGCCATTTTCGCCTTTGGCTCGTAGCCATGACTCGTCCATTTCGACGCTTAATACTCCCGTCTTCATTGATTTACGATTTCTCGCTCGTCGCATATATATGTGAAACTGCTGTAGATCGCGTTCCCTCCCAAGCCCAGGGCGAGCGTTACTGGAAACTCGCTTGCTTCTGTACCTGTAGCACGTAAAATGATTACCACGATCAAAGATTGCAAGCATTGAGAGTGAACAACAAAAACCAACAAAAGCAGACCCGTCAAATATGACAGTTCTGGAGATTGGCCAACTAGCCCAAGTTTTGGATATACCGAGTGTGTCAAATGCTGGACTTTCAGCGAACTGGGGTTGTTCCGCCTTCAGCCCCTGTTCGTGTAAATTGAATTTATGCTACTACCAGGCTTAGCGACTCGCTTTGCATGCCTCTTTTGATATTGCGGCTTTGCTTGATGGAGTCATAGTCAGTAGCAGTGCTGCTGTCATCCATCTATTCCAGACATATAGTATTGGTCTGACTGGTATGGTTGGTTATTTCTCTGGATCGATACCTGAGAATAGCACCGAGCTGGCGGCCGAGTGCCCAACCCTCGTCCTGCAGTTATAGTTATTCAGACATACTTGCCAACAAAGATGATTTGACAGAGGCGGCTACATCTGTGACTGCGCAGTCTCACCTGGCCTCTCATTGCAGCGCCGGCTGATTCGAGACAATATATATGGATTCGCCCATATCATGGGATGACTATCAAGTTGATATTGTCTCCGCTTGATTTCACCACGACCATCCAACCATGTCAGAACACATCACACAGCCGCATGAGATTCGTCAAGGACATGACCCCGAGCAGATGAATCAGGACTCGCCTCCAGTGCAGGCTCAGTCTAGACTGGAATGCCTCCCCGTGGAGCTCCTCCAGAAGATCTTCCTACACAGTCTTGAGGTCAATCTTCCGAGAGCCTCGATTTTCCTCGCTAGGGCTCTATCAAATCCGACCCTCTATACCTGGCTCATTCGCCTGGCCTTCACTAGCTCCAATGAGAGCTCCAAGAATGGCTTTTTTACAGCAGATTTCCTCCCTCCGCCACTAGACTTCTTCGCGCTATCCACAGAAGAACGAAGCGACCTTCAAAGCGCAATTCTCGCATGTCGCTGGTGCACGCTAGAGCTCATGCGCAAATGCCAGAGAGAATATATCGAACACGCGGTCCGTCTCAAGTGTCGAGGCCTAGTGTTCGCCCCTGAAGACCGCGACAGCATCGCCACGATTGGGGAGTACTTCCACGACCTCAACCGCTACGATCAGGGCCACCGAGGTCGTCTAGGAAAAGGCGATCTAGTTTTCAGGGCGCAGGATCCAAAAACCGATGCGGAGTATAGAGTCGCAGTGTGGTTCAATTTTGGCGCCTTTCAGATTCGCAGACCGAATCCGATTCATACAGAGCTCGATCTCTTTCGACTGCCCTGTTGTGCGGGCGATACTCCAGCACGCATGCCAGTCAAATTGCTTTGTGGTCCGTGGACGGAGGCGAAGATGGAGTTCCTTAAATTGCTGTGTACGGAGGTATACATCGATGACGACGAGGAGTATGAGCGTTCTGGGCGCCTGCTTCGCCAGGTAATCCGGAGCCGCGATTACGGTGCTTTCAAGGTACTGGTGGAACTCTTCATTCGGATCCGGATATATAAGTATCCCCTCCGCTGGCCTATACAACGGTCTCATTTCAAGGCAGCTTTGAAGTACGCGGACTCTTCAAACGATCCGTTCCTCAACTTTCTGGTTCGGGAACGATGGGACGATTTACCTTCGTCTGACATAAAGCTCCAGAATGAGCTGATAGCGAAAGTAGGACTATGTTCTCCAGCATGAGGTATAAACTCTACCATACGATACTCTTGGGAGAGTGAACAGGGAGAAGAAGTTATGGATTAACCGTTATCATTTAGAAATACATAAGATTCTAAGGAGGAACACTGCTGGGGTATGAAGAAAGCAGACGAGAAAAGCGCGAACGTGGACAGACAACGAGACGAAACTGAAAAGACAAGTCCATGAATACAAGGTATCATATCCATCATAACTCATCAAGTCGGGCGGGTGCAGCGATTAGACCCTTGATCGTCGATGTCTCGAAGACCTCATCCTTCCCCGGTTTCCGCAGTAGCCACAAGTGAGGCACGAAATGACGACATTGCAGAGATTGACGACACCGTTGATGATGGCTTTAAGGACTGCGCCGATGGTATTGACGATGCCCATGAGGCAGGCGCCGATGGAACGGAAGACGTCCTGGATCTATGGATCGGTCAGTAAAGGTGTGCAAAACAACTGCTGAGAGGGCAGGACATACGCAAGACACGACGGCACCCATATTGATCAGATGTTCTTGTTTATTGTAGGAACTTTGTTTTGATGTGGATCACGGTTTGTGGTTTAGAGGAGGAAGCGTTGTCCGTGTTTGGCAAAGTACTGGAAGATGCAGTAGTGTGGACAGAGGTATCAGAGAATGGACGCATTGTGTAAGGTTGAAGGGGAGGGATAGTGAGACTATATATATGGCAGGTACGATGTCACAATAGCGCCAAGGTCTCAGAATGATGTATGAGGTTGGGATATTCCAGGAATGTGACAAGTGAATGTCATGAAAGGGGCAGTCTGCGTAAGAATAGAAGCCTTGAGAGAAAAAGGTGCTACGAAAGGACGTAATTCTATGAATTCTATGGCATGGTCACCTCCACAGAGCCAGGACCAAACACTGCTCGATGCCGTCATATCGACGACTGTCCCTTCTGGTTTCATGGTACGATTCGTCTGCATACGGCAAATGGATTGTGGATCGAGGGATTGATTACCTGTCAGGTGGTCCTGGAACAAGATGTGTTTGGATCCAGGAAGAGCTTAACCGTGCTTTGGCCATTCATGGGCTTTCATACTTGTTCTTGATAGAGATTCAGGGTGCGCAAGTGGCGTTTAGATACTTGACATACTGAGATGTAGAGAGGTACAGCAGGTTATGACATCATCACTTGTCCCTCCAACACTATCCCTTAAATAGCATAGTGCTAGGGTTTTAGTCAGTAATGTCAGCTGACCTCAAAAACCCTTTTTCACCTCTTTATGGTAGGCTCTCGCAGACCTCTTCCTCATTGGCTACGGGTCTTTGTGATGTTATGCCATAAACTGTAGTGTCAGATTCCCAAGTGTCAAAGATATCGTCATTGCACCCCTGCCAACCCCAGCCCTACTGGGCTAAACTGAGCTCAAACCGGGACGTGTACATTCTTCGAGAATCTACTGGCTCGCTTGTCATGGCGCAAAGACAACCTTAACTCTCGTCGGACGATCTCCACTCACTCCCCTTAGCCAGGCATGCTGACCCCCATCAGGGTCCGCGGCCGTAGAAAGAAAGTCCTTGCACAGAACCCTAACCATGACCAAGGCGCGAAGGCAAGACCAAGCGGGCCCAAGGGCGGCCGCCCCTTGATGTCCCGTGAGGCCAGACTCGACTCGTCTCAGTCCAGAAGCAATAAGAGAGCCCGCCTGTGGGCCGCCAGGCCGTCGAAGCGTCGCAAAACATTGTCCTTACTTGAGACTCTTCCGGTGGAATTGATCGAGAAGATCTTCTTATACTCGTTGAATGTCAATCTACCCCGTGCATCGCCCTCGCTGGCGGCGGCGGTGTCGAGTGAGCGCATCTATCGCGTGTTGATACTGCTCGCTTTCTGGAATGATTCCGCTTCAGAAGCTGAGGATCCTGACTCTGCTATCTCGAGGATACTGAGACCGTTGGACTATGTTCCTCTGCAGGATGACGACCGCGAAAGTCTTCAAACGTCCATCCTGCGCTGCCGGTGGTGCACGATGCCCCAGTTGCTCAAGCAGCTGTCGGACATGACAAACCTGGCTATCCAAAGACATTGGGTCAACGCTGGTATTGAAATGACTAGAGACCAAGAAGAATCCTTAGATCGGTTCCTCGCGCGAGAAGACGACACTTCTACATACGAAGGTACCGACAAAGACGGCAACCACTACACTCTATCCATCACTCCCTTCGTATCAATAAGCATCGCATGCCAGGAAACCGACGAGCAACAAACCCACAAGATCCTCAGCATCAAACACTTTCCCGAGAAGCTCCTCCTTGGCGCCAGCGGAGAAGGCTTCAGCGACGAACACGCAACGTACCTCGAAACCATGCGAGTCGCCTGCGGGCTCAACCGCTCCGACCACCTGGAGACGGACGTCTCTGTCTCCCGCGAATCCCTGCACCAAGGCGTCCACATCGCCCTCGTGGAGCACAATACGAGAGCACTCGCCACCCTCCTCAAAATAGACGAGTACGTCTTCCGCAGCAACGCAACCCTCGCCGGCGGCCTGCCATATAGCATCCCACCCGAACATTTCCGCACAGCTGTCCGAGTCGCACGGAACGACCCCGCTCTGTTCCAAACATTGCTTCGAGCCAGCGCGGAATCCGTCCCGGCTGATGATCCCGAGATTACGGAGTGGGCGATGAATATCGGGGATTCGTTTGGCCATTGGTTGCTGGATTTGATGCTGAGGCTTCCGCAGCAAACAGAGACTGCGAATGCGAATCCGGCAGAGGGTGCGGTGTTTTATCTGGGGAGAGCTAATGGGCAGATTGAGCTGGCGAGACGGTATCTGCGGGATGTATTGAACGTGGACGAGCTGCCGAGTTGGATGGAGGAGGCGTCCGTTGACCTGTTTAGTCAATGGAGGGTTATCACAACTACGACCGAAGAGACAGATTCGTAGAGAGCCAGTATTGAGTACATACTGCAACTGCAATGGTGTCTGTCAATATCATAATTTCATTATATAGATTACAAGATCTGCCCTCGTTGATGGGCTCATTTGATTATGTTAATACAGTGGATATCCCTTTACATATTCTTCAATAGCCGCAGGATCCCACTTAACCTGCCAGCCAGCGTCAACTGATACCCCGTCTCAACCACACCCTTGCACAGCTCCCAAGCGCCAGTCCCATTCTGCTTATCATCCTCACCCTTCTGAATCGGATAGTCCACTCTCGGGGGTATCCGCGTAGCCATCAACCTGGGGAAGCGGTCTACACAAATTGCCTTGATGTTACTCACGGCCCGGAGACCCTCTTCTCCGGCGAACCGACCATATCCGGAACCCTTGACGCCGCCAAACGGCAGCTGCACCGCGTAGTAACTGGCAAAGTCGTTCACGGACACCATGCCCGCTTTGATTTGAGATACACACGCCGCGACATCTTTCTGGTTATACCCAAATACGCTTGCTCCGAGGGCGTACATTGTTGAGTTTGCGATGCTGATAGCGTGGGGCACTGATTCCGCGCGCATGAGGACAAAGACCGGGGCAAAGAGTTCCGTCTGGGCAATGCGCATGGAGGGCGTCACGTCGGCGAGGAGGGTGGGCGTGAAGTAATGGCCGTGGGGGTGTCTAGGGTGATTGTAACGCTTGCCGCCGCAGATGAGCCGTGCGCCTTGTCTGACGGCGTCTTCGATGAGAGATTCCAGTCGATCGAAGGATGCCGGGGAGATCATCGCGCCCATGTCCGGGGTGTTGGGTTTCTGCTGGGCATCGTTTGGTTTGGAGTCGAGGAGGACGGAGCCAAGACGGAGGGCTTGAATGCGAGGGGCGACGGTATCGAGGAGCTTGTCGTATACGCCTGGGAGAGCAATGACGCGCTCGACGCCAATGCAGTTTTGCCCGGCGGATTGGAAGACACCGCGCATGAGCACCGAGGCAATGGAGGATACTTCGCTCACGGTCCGCGCATCGTCCAAGATGACGGCGGGATCCTTCCCGCCCAGCTCTACGGTGACTGGTGTCAATGCCTTGGCTGCGGACTCACACACTTTGTGGGCCACGGGGCGGGAACCGATAAAGGTCAGCTGAGAGATATCCGGGTGAGATGTCAGGGCGCCTGCGACATCGGGAAGGCACACGACGCTTTGTACTAGGTCTCGCGAATGACCGCAGCTCGAAAGAGCGCCTCGGATAATTTCAAGGAAGAACATGGTGCACCACGCAGTCTGCTCGGACGGCTTCACCACAATACCATTTCCAGCGAAAATCGCGCTGATGACCGGGGAGATGAAGTTGTGGAACGGATAGTTCCAGGAGACGCAGGCGGAGACAACGCCCAGAGGCTCGTATGTGACCATGTTCTTTTTGTACATCATCAGGAAATTTGTCGGGCGGAACTCAGCCGTCAGGGCCTTTTCGCCGTGGTCGATGGTCCATTTCAGCTTCTCCGCGGTGACGAGGATCTCCCCGAACGAGGCGTCGACTTTTGTTTTCCCCGAATCCAGGCAACACGCAGCGACGATCTCATCTTGGTGGTCGAGAACATATCTGCGAATTTCGAATTGATTGTTAGCTTCCAGTTCCTCGCTCGAACCTGTATTCAAGGCTGGCGAACGCACTTGAGCAATGTCCGAAGAACCTTCCTCCTATCGGCAAAGCTAGTCTTGGCCCATTCGACTTGCGCAGTTTTGGCAGCTTGTATCGCTCGATTGACATCGTCTGCGGTGTTCGGCTTGATTCCGGTTCCCAGTACCCGTCCGTCCGCAGGACAGTAACTCATAATCAACTTGTCACTCCATTGCTGTGCAAGGCACAACGCATTAGCATCGGCCTTGTGTCACATCGATCAATCGTCAATGCGCAGGGGAAATAAACCTACCCCTCGGACCTGACCTTCAAGCACCTTCTTCTCCTCACCCTGCACATCCTCCCATTTCTTGCCGGTCCAGTTGGCGCGAACCTCAGCCGGTAGTGGAACATTGAAAGTCACAGCTGCCTCCTTGCTGTTCAAAATGAAAGCGTAGCCCAGGTAGATAGCTGCGACAGAGATCACTGCGACACCAAGAAGCTGTGCATTGCTCGCCAGGGTGTCGATGAGGGGAGCCAAAGCAGGCGGAACGAGCGAAGCCAGAGAGTCCATCTTTGCAACCAATTGCACCTCAATTGATTCCTAGAGCCTCTCCTGGAGGATGTGTCGCTCGTGCCTGGACGGAACCTGTTAAGAGTAAGGCCGCCAGAAGAGTGGTCCCATCTTTTTATCAAAGTTCCGCGGAATACGGTTACGCGATCTAAGCACGGACCACCTGAGGATAAGGAGCAAACAAGCAGAAGGTCCATGATTTTGACTGTAGTTGATATGGTTCAATTGGACAGGAAATAGAAATCATAGCTCAGTCGTAGATCTAGCTAGTTGACCAAGGGTATTAAGCAATAATCATCCTCTTGCAACTCCTGACTGTTTATGTCGTCCCACATACCCCGAATCAGTAATCGATAAATATATGGAGGAACAAATGTATGCTAATAGAAACACAACCTCATTCGTCACTTTCATCGGTTTCAGCGCGGGTCTTTCGTTCAGTCCTTTTCTTGCTAGCCACAGGCACCTTCGCGTTTCCCTCTTTTCTCTTTCCAGTTCGAGTTACAAGGTGGTCGATCACACACCCATCCTCCCAGCCAGCGGAGGACTGCCCGGTGATCGCTCGGCATCTAGGACAAGTCTTTCCATGGCGAATCAAAAGTTGATGGAGAGAGTATTTCAGGTGATCCGGAATGCGAACCTCAAGATGACTGAAAGCAGTGACCTCGGTAGCTTTACCTGGAGGCACCCAGCCGAGCCACTTGCAGATACGGAAAATATGGGTATCGACCGCAAAGCATGGGCGTTGCAAGCAAAAAAGAATGACACAGGCAGCCGTTTTGGGACCGATCCCTGGGTACTTGACCAGCTCTGTCATGGCATCTTCCGTGCTGAGAGTATGGAGGTGGTTCAGTGAGAGGAAGTTCTGATCCGCGCACGCTATCTCGTACTCCTTCTCTCCCTCGGTATTTGCCGTGAGGTCCGAGGACCCGTCCGACTCTCCTTTCACGAGAATGTTTTTGCGCTCTTGGTTCTCCTGGTAAACCATGTCCAGTATTGCCTTGATCTTTTTGCTCTTGATATCCGCCAGACCGCCCCTCTTGATCGCCTCGAAGACATCTTTCAGCGGTGCTTGACGGATGGCATCCCAGTTGACACTTCCCTTGCCGATACCTTCTTCAAGAATACCGAACCTCTGTACCAGACCACCGAAAGCCAAAGCGGAATTTCTCCCCGTCGTGGCACCGCTGAGCAGCGTGCGAATGAGTGCGTCTAGCACTGAAGGAACCTCGCCACACCCCGTAACCGTGAGAGACGGCTCTGGGATCTTAGTAGGAGGGATGACTTCTCCATGAGCACTGGAGAGGAGCCTGTTCACTTCCTCACATTCTTCAGGGGTGGGCCGAGCCCATTCAGGAAATGGGGTAGCTCCGGGCGTAAGACCATAAGGATTCTTCTTCTTGCTAATTTTGATTTGTTGCGGTAGTCCCTCTGTAGCTTTGGCGACGGTCTTTTGAAGATCACTTGCGAGTTTGTCTAAATCGTGTTCCTCTTTGATGCCGGGATCCTGCTTGTTGAGTTTAGGTTCTGCATTGATACTCTCAAGTGGCTGAGAGACTGAGCCCAGATTGTGTGGAAGGTCGTCATTCACATTGAGACTTGGCAAACTGGGTTTTGCCTTTCTCTTGTTTGATGACTTTGATAGTTTTTCTGGTTGCTCTATGGGCAGTTTTCTCTTCCGACCAGAAGTAGACTTTCCAGTCTTCAGCGAGACGTCTGGACCGTTCGAGTCGGCTAGCTGCGGCTTGACATCCTGTGCCTTTGCCGCAAGCAAAGCTGCCTCTCGGGCTGCTGCGGAACGTGTGACACGGCTAGTCATGCTGAGAGTACACAGCGGAATCACTATAGACAGGATTAAAAGATGGAATCCATGAACGAGGATGGAAGCAGTGTTCTTTATCGGGCGGTGGTAGATGGATAATTGTGCATTAGTGCAAAGAACAGTTCGGTGAGCAGTATCCTCGATGACTTCAAACTCAAAAGACTACACTTCCAAATATCCTGTTATCGTGATTCTTGCTTTCTGGAGCCACAGTATACAACAAAGATGTGGGAGAGAAGTCGGTGCCAAGGTTGATGATAGCCTCATCAGATTGTTTGATTCAATATTCGTCATATCACATGATCCGATCTATGATCGCCGATCTAGTTCTATCTATATACATACACCATAAGCCTCATGACACGTGTGCCAAAAGATTTTCATCATAGATCCATACACTGCATGACCTTGTCGGGAATACCATCCCCTTGACCAGTCCGAGCTCTGCAATGGAAGCATTAAACAGAGGGCCGCCCTTGATCTTGCTTTTTTCTATCGCATACAAACTCCAAGACGCCAAAGACAAATGCACCGCTGGTATAGTAATCCATCAGAAGAGGAAACCATAATCATTCGTGATCAGCAATGTTATGGATGCTGATATCCATACGATCCTTAACCTTGGGAGGTTCCTCTTCGTGCGTCATGGCTTTGTTGCACCGGTTGAAGCCCACCTGAGGCACTTCGGATTCTCCAGGGTAATTGGCAGGAATGATCTTGCCATGTTGATCGAGCTTAACTCCATTAGCAGCAATCTGGTAGTCCTCTTCATTGGCGAAACCATGAGTGACAGCCTCTTTGGCACGGTCAACAGCCTTGATCTTGCGTCCTTCGCCGCGAATCTTCTCGAGATGGTCAAAGTAGCCGTCATCGATGGGAGTAATGTAGTTGCCGCAGAAGACTCCAACTTCGAAGTTGACAGGTTCGCGCAATCCGTTTTCCTTAGTGATCTCGGCACAGGCACCAATCAAGTCGTCCAGAGTCTGGAAAATGACGCTGTCAGCGCCAATGTGTCTTGCGATACTGTCAGCGTCGCGGCCGTGTGCAACGAGCTCGCTAGGCGATGCCAAGTCGATACCGTACACGTGAGCGTGTCTGTTAAAAGTATGAGTGATTTGCCATCGCCACAGAAGGGAATTTGATATCAACTTACGTGATCTCAGGCGCGCAACTAGCAAAGTAGACCTTCTTAGCCCCAGCTTCCCTCGCCATGGTGACGATTTCTCTGCTGGTGGTACCGCGCACGATACTGTCGTCTACTAAGAGGACATTTCGGTCCTTGAACTCGGCTTGCATGGCGTTCAGCTTGCGACGGACACCCTTTTGCCGAGTCTTTTGTTCAGGCATGATGAAGGTACGGAAGACATATCTATTCTTGACGAAACCCTGGCAGTACGGCTTGTCGAGATAACGAGCAACCGCTGCAGCCGACGTGGTTGAGGTTTCAGGAATGGGAATAACGACGTCGATGTCCTTGACAATTTCAGGTCCGAGAACATCGACGATTCTCGCGGCAAGGCGATCACCCATGCGCTGACGGCTCCGGTAAACGCTGATACCGTCGATGACGGAGTCGGGACGTGCGAAGTAGACATACTCGAAAATATCGGGAGCATATGCCTTCTTCGGCGCCACCTGGCGGAAGACCGGCTCTCCACCTTTTTCGATGATAACGGCTTCACCAGGCTGGATATCACGGAAGTTGCTGAATCCAAGCTGGTGCAGGGCAACCGACTCGGAGGCCATCATGTAATCCGTGCCGGGGCCGTCCAGGGAGGGTCTGGAACCAAGAACCAGAGGACGGATACCGTATGAGTCACGGAAACCGAGAATACCGAACCCTACCATGATTGTCAATTGATGTTCAGGAAATTATCGTCAGAGGTTTGAATATGCTCACCTGCCAGCATCGCCGTGCAAGCCCAGCCACCCTGACATCTCTCGTACATCCTGCTAAGGCTTGCAAAGAGATCTTCCCTGTTCACACGCGCCTTCTTGGTCTCGCTGAGCTCATCGGCAAAGATGTTCAGCATCAGCTCACTATCACTATCGGTGTTGATGTGACGGTGGGCCTCGAGATCCAAGTATCTTTTCAACTCGGGAGCATTGATCAGGTTTCCGTTATGGGCCAGGCAAATACCGTAGGGGCTGTTCACATAGAAGGGTTGAGCCTCGGCATTCGCGCTGCTTCCAGCAGTTGGGTATCTCAGATGTCCAATGCCCATGAAGCCTGGAAGGTCCGCCACTCTCGCACCATCATTGAAAACCTTGGCTGCCATACCGTTGGCCTTCAACTGGTAGAAGCGACCACCTGCCGCGCACGTTGCAATACCCGCAGCATCTTGGCCTCGATCTAGTAATTGGAGATTTAAAGATTAGTCTCGATCCTCGAATGTACTCCGTATCGTCCAAATACTCACGTTGTAGAAGGTAGAGCGCTTCGTGAAGATCGACGGCGGCGGACGACTTGGGGTTCGCCAATATTAAACCGATGATACCACACATCTTGCTGACGAGGGGGTATTCTAGAAGTATTCATGATATCAGCATTGGGCCTGGGAATCAGACTGAATGGTAAGACAAATCAAGATGAAGCATTTGAAGTCAGATCGGATATTCTCCGCAAGGATGCTTAGGAAGTCTAACATCTATAAAAAAACCGAAATTCATCATAAAAGAGAAGGAATGTAACGCATTGAAATTAGAAAACGTCAAGAGTGATACTCACATCTAGAGGCAAAAGTTCTGGCACGCGCACACAGAGACCGGGGGTTTCGAGAGAAAGACCGGAAACGTCGGCGAAGACAGGGGTGGTAATGGAGAACGACTCTCTTATTGAGACATAACAATAGCCACTGGGAAGGTGACTATAGTCAGGGTGGTGTTTAAAGCAAAGCCCACGAAGGGAATATTGAATGAACAGATGTCATGGTGAAGGAAGAGTTAGGAGAGAGGGAAAAACTGGGACGAGACGAAGCCCTCATATTCTTTTAATTCCTCAGTACTGTGGTTCTGGTTCCTTCCCCACCGCTCAGTCAGTGGGAGAGACAGAATTTTTGCGGGTGCCGCTAAACCAAGAACAAATGAAAGGTTATGCTCGGCGCTGCTTCGGAGCCTCAGGCAGTGCCGAGACCGGCAATGACATAAGCTGTCAATTTGCCCTCCACAAACAGGGCAAACATACTTCATTTGTCTTCAGTATCAACACGCTTTGATGATAGAGACATATTCTATGATGGATACACTTTAGTTGATAACATGTAGCTCAACTCAAGTTGCTAGTGTTCTGTAAATGAAGTGTTATTAGTTCACTCTCAGCTCACTCTCTGACTGGGTTTCAGTGTGACTAACTGAAGAGCCTTAACTCCTGGGAATATGGAGTAGGCCTTTGATGGACTTAGTACTGATAATGGTGCTCGTTGGTCACTGCTCAATGTTTTGCTACCTCTTTGTTGAACATCTCCATAGCTGCAATTGCTCCACTCCTTTGCAAACATTTTGACTTGTGTTACTCTCCTTCTAATATCCTGATCATCATGGTCTCATCGTATCTTCCAGTTCTCTCAGTACTTACACTCCTTATATTCCCTTCCTTGCCCAAGTTCCTATTTTCCAGCAACTGCTAGTTGACTTCGTTTCTACGAAACCTTTGGTAATTCAGAATAGCTCAAAGGCCTTCCTCCTCATCCTCCAGTTCTACCTGCTGCCGTGGAGATGAACCGTCCTACAAATGATTCGCTCCATTCCCAGGAGCTTCCACAGCCCTCAGAGCCCATATGTCTCGATGACAGTGATGATGATTCTAGCGTCTGTGACACAGAGAGCAACACTGACAGCAGTGTGACTATTGATAACGATCCTGATCGATCGTTTTTCCTTGATGACGAACAATTTCACCCTGGAGGCAGCCGACGAACCCCAACGCCTTTCCACATAGGACCTCAGACTCACCCAGAAATCATAGACCTCACCTCGGGCCCTGAGCTATTGGTCACAGAAGGAGATTATCTCACCGATGAATGCTTTGAGCGTCTTCTGCGAGATTGGGGCCGACCTGGACCCGCAGCGGCTTCTCTCCCGATTCAAGAGGCCTCGGAATGGGAAAAGCGCCCAATCGACCATGCTTGCGTAGATGGAATAGTTTACAAAGCGGGTCATTCCCTTGAACTTCATAATGGCCTTTATCTCAGAATCGAAACTGTGCTTCAAGATACTGCTGAAGAGGTCTTCTTTCGAGGCCGTCATCTGATCCGAACGAGGCATCACAAGGGGACTTATATACCCAAATGGTCCAATGAACTGGTCTGGATCGTTAATGAGTCAACAGAAGTCCCACTGAGCTTCGTCAAGCGCTTCATCAATATTCGTTTCACCAGCTGCTGCCATGTTGAGCAAGATCTTCAGAAACGACATCGGCCAAATGATCTGTTCTGTCGATTGAAGGAGAATCTTGATTCATCTCAGGCAGCAGTCGAGTACCTGTCATTCGAAGAATCTGATGAAGGCTTTGCAATTGATTCGACGTCTTTACGACAGTCATGGCGAGGTGAAACTCGTCCGTTTGGTAGTGCGGATGCTAATCCCCAACCACAATCTCCAGTCATAGTCCTGGATGCAGACCCTGTCATTGATCTTACCGAAATTGAGAAAGAAGACGCCAGAGTGCAGAAAAAACATCGCAAGTATACGTTTGGCGATGGGTTCTGCGGTGCAGGGGGTGTATCTTGTGGTGCGTCGAAGGCTGGTCTGCATATCAAGTGGGCATTTGATAAGTCCGAGAATGCGATTACCACGTATCGTCTGAACTTTGCAACTGCGGTGTGTGAAGCATGTGACATCTTCTGTTTCTTGACAAATAAGCCAGAAGATTTAAAAGTGGATGTCAGCCATGGTTCTCCTCCGTGTCAGACCTTTTCTCCAGCCCATACGATCAACAGTGTGAATGATGATGATAATTCGGCGTGCATCTTTTCCTGCGCGGACATGATTAAGAGATCGAGGCCGAGAGTGCATACAATGGAAGAGACCAGTGGACTTTTTGATCGACACAAGGAGACCTTTCACCGAGTCATACAAGACTTCATCGAGATAGGATACTCTGTTCGTTGGAGAATCCTGAATTGTATGGACTATGGGGTGCCGCAATCACGAAGAAGGCTCATCATTATTGCTTCTGGGTAAGGACCCGTCTTCTATTGTTCTCCTGTGGGTCCTCTCCTGGCTTCCCAATTGGTTTTCCTAGGTGTAGGAGCTGATATCTTTTCTAGACCAGGCGAAGTGCTGCCACCCTTCCCGAAGCCCACCCACGGGCTGCCTGGATCGGGGCTGTCTGATTACACCACCATAAACCAGATGATAGCAAACATACCTCCCGATGCCCCAGATCACGATATCGAAGGTGCTAGGAGCCGAGGACTGCGCAATGGAACGAGGGTCCCCTTCGACCCGAACCAGCAGGCAAAAACCGTGACCTGCAGCGGCGGGGAGAACAATTACCATCCGTCTGGCACACGGGGCTTCACAAACCGCGAATTCGCCTGCCTGCAAACGTTTCCTCTAGACTATCGCTTTGGAGCACGAGAAGTTCGGAGGCAAATCGGAAACGCCGTCCCTCCTGCGCTGTCCAAAGCGATTTACCGAGAGATCATCAAGTCGTTGCAGCGTACGGACGAGCAAGAATTCAGAGTTGGGGATTCGTGGTGAGGGCAAAGGGGTTGGTTTCTTCGATTCATATTCATCCCTGTGGTAGACTTGATAAATTTTTGTCCTTGTTCAGTTCATACCAAGCGACTGTTTGAACCCGGGCAAAAGAGGGAAGTTCCTTCCACGATTCATATCTGTACTGGTGACTGGTTTAGTCAATTGATCGCCAATCGGCCGATCCACATGCTCTGTCCATTATATTGGGTTAAGCTATAGCCGCGGAAATGGAAAAGATACCGTCCGACCGCGGGGAGCTCCAAGGGATGATTTTGACGACCACAACGGCAGAGAAGGATCATTCCTCAACGGTCGGCTCTCGGTCAACAGCGCTTCTGATAGTCGCACTGTTCGATAGCCCTTTAGTGATAGTGGAATAAGCTTGTGTCAAAATATGGAATCCGCAGGTTCTCCAATGAAGTTGAGCAGCACCATGATCATCACAGTCGGATGCCGTTGAGTATGCAATGTAGAATCATCACAGATCTGGAGACTTCGAATGCATCAAGAATTAAGGCGATCTTCCGACACCGGAGAAAAGTCTGGACAGTATGAGCATTAGAACTCCGTAGATGAAGGATCATCTTCTGGCCATTTTACAGTCTGCATTCGGATAGCCGGGAGTAACCGCAGGACAACAAACAGAACCGGCCTCGGTCCAGCGAGAAGTTCGATCCCTCGCGGTCCCTTTTTCTCCTTCCTTTCTCCTCTTCTTTCCTTTCCTCCTCCTCCATTGCTAAGCGACCATCCTTAATTACAACTCTTCTCTCTCCTCTCCTCTCCTCCTATCTCCTGAGTATTGCATCTTCCTTCTTTCCCTTCTCCTTTCCATCATGTCTGCCTCGTGTTCGGCGCTGAGACGGCTGACCCACAGGTCTCCCCGCACTTTGCCATCCCGCATCGTCTCCGTCTCCAGGCCCTCCTCCCGCATTGTCGCTCGCAACTCCTTCACCAAGGCCGTCAACCCTTGTGCTCCCCGAGTCTCACAATTCTCAACAATGACTGCTCTTCAGCACGGTGCTCCCTCTGCTCCGGCAGAGAGGAGCTATGATCCCGAGATCAAGGATATGGCTGATTATGTTCACAACTACAGTGTGAACTCTGATTTGGCGGTATGGGTTCATTCTTCTCCGTTGCGCATAAGTGATTTTTTGGCCTCAATATAAATTTTATCAATTGAGGCGGGGAATTGGTTATTCAGTTCGCATCGCTGGAAGGAAGTAGCTCATGCATTGATTTGATTTAGTATGACACTGCCCGTCTGGTCTTCCTCGACACGCTGGGTTGCGGACTGGAGGCCTTGAGATTCAAAGAATGCGCCAAGCTGTTGGGCCCCGTTGTTGAAGGCACCGTTGTCCCTAACGGTACCCGTGTCCCTGGTACTCCCTACCAACTGGACCCTGTCAATGGTGCCTTCAACATTGGCGCCATGATCCGGTGGCTTGACTACAATGACTGCTGGCTTGCCGCCGAGTGGGGTCACCCCTCCGACAATCTGGGCGGTATTCTCGCTGTCGCTGACTGGATCTCCCGCACCAACCGTGCCGGAGGTAATCTCGGAAATGGCAAGATTGTGAAGGTCAAGGAAGTGCTGGAGGCCATGATCAAGGCCCACGAAATCCAGGGTGTTCTGGCTTTGGAGAATTCGTACAACAGGGTCGGCCTGGACCACGTTGTGCTGGTCAAGGTTGCCACCACTGCTGTGGTTGCTAAGATGCTCGGTCTTAACGAGAAGCAGACCGCTGATGCCATCACCCAGGCTTGGGTGGACGGCCAGAGTCTCCGTACCTACAGACATTCTCCTA